GGAAAGGAGGTCTGGATTTTAATTTCAAAATCTGTCATCCTGATCTTTATTGCAGATGTAGTGAGATCAGTTCTCAGCCTCTCTTCTGCTCTGTCAGGCCTCAGACAGAAGGAGGCTTTTACCGCTGAGCTCCAACTCCTGAAAGCAGATTAAGGGGTAGAAACAAGGAAATGTTGGGTCTTGGAATTTCTGACAGCCCAATTTACACCCTGTAGCAGGAGGGCAGAGAGGGCTTATCTAAAACCCAGAATTGGCTGATCAGCAAAATGAATAGAGAAGTCTCAGTCAAGGAGGTGATGTCTGTTCAGAGTCATTTCCACGTATGTTTAAACCTTCATGGCTTCCTGCTTCCCTTAGAATAAAAACGCAACTCTGTATGGCTCCTCTCATGCCCTGTGTGTCCTCCCTTCCTCTCTCTCTGACCTTTGCTCTCCACACTTCGGCCATACTGGTGGCCCTTCTGGTTCTCACACAAGTCGATCCCTTGTGTCTTGTAACCTTTGCACATGAAGTGTTCTGATCTTTTAAGGTACACGATTTTAACATGGACTATATCACCTATATAAAATTATGGAAATTATACATATATTGTGTAGTATTTCAGTCACCAACCACAAATGTTCCTGACATCACCAAATTCTGAAAACATTTCAATCTGGCCAGTGAAATATTTTCTTGTCAATTCAACATATGTTTATTGGTTACTCAGTATGTGGAAGTCAGAAAAAAAAACAAAACCTTAACAGAAATTCAACTAAAAAGGAAACTCAAACATTAGTTCTGCATTCAAGTAAAGATCCAGTTATTATCAGAAATGGTCGTATAATCACCAGCCAAGTGAGTAATGCCACACTAAAGAAAGAGCATAAAAGGGCACCAATAAGGATTTTGTTTAAAAACATCTGGCGTGTCTAATGAATTCCTGCCTGAAGTGCTTCTCTTCTCTAAGTGGGAACTGCAGTAAAGGCAAAATGTCATCAGTGCTCAGTGTTTAAGGCACTGCACAATGTGTGTTAAGTAGCCCATAAATGAATTAGCAAATATATTATTCTAAATAAGACTGTAACATTCCTTGAGGGGAAATACAGACCTCCTCTTGAAGATGGAACTAGCTTCTGTAGATAAAAAGAAATGAGCCTATAACGTTGTAATTATAATATTTTATCTCTAAAAATACTACTGACATTTGAATGAGGGCAATAAATCTTAGCCCTTTGGGGGCTGTGAACAGAAGCTTCAAAATATATTACCTTTAGTTGTGGCCAGGAGAAGAATGTAGAGCTTTTCTTTAATCATGCAAGTATAACAGGTTTTCTCTATTGTAATGAATAAAAGTGCCTTAGAATTTCCACATCATTTAGTGCTTAAATACTGGGGGTTTTTTTTATCCAAAAACAAATGCCACCTAATCTAAGACTATTCCATGTAGTGTTGGATCATTCCTGGGTTTACCTCCCTCTTTTTCTAGTTAGTATCTTCAGAAACAAAGCAGAGCCCAGCAACTGTTTATTACATTTCTTTCTCACTTCGGAATATTTAAATCAACAGGGAAAATCAGAAGTGTACTCTCATTAGGAAATGCATGGAAAAGCTGATATTGTGGCTCATGTGTTTGTAATTAAGTGTTAAATTGTGCCTTCCCAAGGTAGGAGCTAATAGCATTATATCATTTAAAAAGAAAGTTCATGCTTAAAAATGTTCAATGCTGTATTGCATTGACAACAAATAAGATCTTTTTCAGAATGTTACATTCATTAACCACGCAACCGACAGTGGTTTTCTTAGACCAAAGGCATCAGCAAGTGTCAGGATCACCTGGAAGACTTGTTGGAATACTTTTGCAAGTCCCCACCCACCCCCAAGATGCTGGCTGGGTAGGTTTGGAGTGGGAGCTGAGAATGTGTGAGCTGAGGTGATGTTACTGCTGCTGGTCTTGAGACCATGCTTTGAGAACCAATGCCTGAGACTATGAGGACCTCCTTGTAACTGGCTTCATGATGAAGCACAAGTTTCTTTCTGAGTCTCTTTCTTCCTGCTCCTTTTTCTCATTATGCCAACAATATTGGGAATGTCTTGAGCTTCCTTCTAGCCCGTTAGTAGTAAACATTTTACATTACAAGTTTGTTACATAGTGTAGAATTTGTGTCTAGAAGAGTAAAAAAAACCAAGGGGAGAGTTGATGCATTTTCTGACTCCCTGCATAGACTTTTCGGGAAGCTATAGTAAGGTAGTATTGGAACCCTAAGCCCACTTGCCACTTAGTCCAAAGCCTAATATTTGTTATTTCATATTTGCAGTGTTTCTAATCTCTTCCCATTCATTACTGCACATGACAGTGAAACAGCTTCTGAGAAGTAGAATGAGGACTCCTGGTTGAATTAGGATAAGAAAGCCAAGGCCCTGGGTGAAAGTGGCTTGTGTGAGGTCCCATGTGTGTTTGTCCTAGCCATACACCATTGGGAGGTTATTGCACTCTGGTCCTGTTTCCTCCCACTGCCTGTCCAAAAGCGTATTCAGCTGAGGCATCTGGGACTGTAGCTATGAAAGGTAAAATAATACCTTGGTGACTTGTCATTCTCCCATCCTTGACTGAACATAGTGTTAGTTCCCAGGAAGTGTCTTTGAACATCCATTGGATGTCTGGTGTGCTTTCTGCCAAAAACATCTTCATTAATGCACATGGGTTCTGCTCAAAGGTCTGATTTCAAAGAGCAAACAGAGCACATTAGTTTCTTTCACAAATAGACTTTAAGCGGTTCATCTGTGTAATGGAGTGTGTAATCCCTGTGCTACCTGCCGTGGATGTGAAAATTGAGAATGATAATGTATGTAAAGAGCTTTGAAAGGGGCAGGTGCTAGAGAGGGTAGCTAGTGTGTTTCAAGAGTTGCTGCTGTGGATGCTGATTTGATGACATTCTCTCAAAACAATAATGGAGCCTCCTTTTTAAATGGTCTGGTTAAAATGACCCCAAATATTATCAACCATTAAAGAAATCTAGCATCTCACTTTGAATTATGTAAATGACTTTAGAGTTGCTCTATTTTTCTGAGGGAAAATCCAAGAGTTCATAGATTAATTATCTCAACGACTCATCATTATAATGTTTAGCCACAGACCCTAGAGTAAATACTGCTCAGTATTTTGAAGAAACATACAGATTCAGGTATCTTAGAATTCTTTCACCTTGGTCATTATTTTTGTTTTTGAACTTTAAGCAAATCACTTTATCCTTCGGTTTTTGTTTACTAAAATAAGGTGCCTTAATAAGACTACAAGAAATCACTAGAGTGCTTTTTAAAATGAGAGTACATGTATTTCATCAACTATATACCACATTCAAGTTGGAGTATGTTACTCTGAGGTGAAAATAATTGAGCTTGGCTTTCTATTTTTATATGATTTAATGTCGTCTCCAGCTACCCCAGAATTGTGTGTGTTTTCGATAAAGGCAAAGTACAGTGAGCTACCTTGACAGCTTTCTGGAGAGCAAGAAAAACATACATTGAATTGTGGCACATCCTAAGAAGATAGCGTTCTTTGGTGGTGGGGGGTAGAGGAGGTTCCAGTATAGTTTCTCATGGGTCACCATACCTCCAAGTGTCCAGTGACTTTCTAACATTCCACCTGGCCCTGAGGTCCAGCTGTGCTCAGACTACAGTGCCTCTCCCAGCTAGCCAAACAGCTTAACCTCCAGGATGCCTTTCTGATTCCTCTGATAAGGTGCACATGAGCAAGGCTGAGTCCCCAGCCCAGCAAAATAGATCCTCCAGGTTTCTCCTCTCGGTTATCTTGGGTGCCCTAGTGTGGAGAACCATCTCCTCCTCACAGGGTGGGCCTTTGGCCACGTGGTGGAATGTGGTGGCATTATGACCTCAGCCCCTCACAAAGTCTCAGTGACCTCTTATAGACCTTTCTGGGCACACACGTGAGCATGCACATACTACTGGCATGTGTACAATGTGCATCAAACCCAACTGTTAGCTGACTCATCCCTTGCAGACCTGCCCCCGCCTCAGGGTATAATAAGTAGTGGGTGTTCAGATTGCCATAAGTTGAAGGTGTGTCAGACACCAAGTTGAATTTTGACAAGGTCCTTCTAAGTGTGTTCCTCAGGGGTGGATGGAAATTTCAAACACTATGTAGGCTGTGTGGGTGGGAATGGAGGGATATTTTTGAATAGAGAGATTCTTGGGTCTTTTCAAATCATCCTGGAAAGGAAGGAAGATGCCTATTACAGATCCCCTGGTCCTCATTCAAAAGCCTGAGGCCACATGAATTACAGAACTAAGTGGTACATTCACCTCATACTAACACCCCCAATGAGATCTGATACTGTGTCTAAAACATAACACTTGAAGTGGGAAAAATATTGTTAGTTCAGGTAAGGCTGTAACATCAATGAGTTTCAGTTGGGTCAGGTTTTATGAGCAAAGTAACTTTCAGTTGTTAAAGCTTTTAGGATTTCAGAATTATAGATAAAAATTATGCACCTGTAATTGTTAACAATAATTCATATTTACTGAGTGTTTGTGGTGTGCCAGGCACCATGTTAAGTGAATACTTTCCTGATGTAAACCCATTTACTCCTCTCAGTAAACATGGGAAGCAGGAATTGTTAGTGATAGCAACAATTCCTACTCAGTCTTCCTTTAAAAAAAAAATTATTGAGTACCCAAAAATCATTGAGTTCTCAGGAGGAAAAGCAAAACATAGGTCCAGCCTCCACCTAAAATTGCGCCCACTTATGTGGGAGCCAGATAGACACACAAACATCACCCCACACAGGGCTGGGAACAGAGAGGGGCTGGTCCTGTGTGTGCATCAGGGAAGTGTCGCAGGCTGGTCCTCCATTTCCCATGCAGAAGAGAAGCCAGCCCCCAGGAACTACAGGGATTGTTCATTCAAGGTCAGCAGGTCTCAAATGCTTTGAGACTACAGCTCCATGGGGGCCCTCACCCTGTGTTTCTTTAACACAGCCCTCTTCTGTCATCTCTTACAGAACGCCTATTTCGGCTTTCTCCCAAGACAACATCTACGAAGTTCAGCCCCCAAGAGTAGACAGGAAATCCACAGAGATCTTCCAAGCCCACATCCAGGCCAGCCAAGGTACCATGCAGCCCCTAGGAAGAGAGGACACTTTTATGTTCCGAGAGTACATCAGAAACCGCTACCTGTGAACAGAGAGCACTTGAAGCTTTCCCTCTTCTTCATGCCGTGCAAATTATAAACTACAGGTAGTAAAGAAATGACTGAATGTGTTGCTCCTGTTGACTTTGCTTTATTTTAAAAATACTTTGTTTAGAAATGTGATTAATGTACTATGACAGTATTATATTATGAAATTGCAGGTATTTTTTGAACACCCACTGTATGCCAGGCACTATGGCAAGATCGAGGAATATCATAGTAAGCAGATTGAGCTAAAAATTCCTCTCCTGGGAGGAACAAAGGCAAAGTATTTTTCTTTATAATTACCATTTTTTAAATGTATTCTGTTTTTCTGCTAACTTTGCATTTTGCTAAAAAATTTCATTACCCTGAAAACCCTGGTTTTCAGAAAATAAAAGGGACCAGATATCAACAAAGTGTTCTCCAGTAGTTCAGGAGGTAGATGGTGGTGGTGGCAGCAGTGGCGTTTTTACTACAACACCCTGCTGTTCTTGATTTAAGGCAAGTGCCTTGTCCTCCTAAGAGTTAACCTGATTTTGATGTAACAAGATGATATCTGAACTATCAGTTCTGTCGTTAATTCAAATTCACCTTTAGCTGTCTGAGACTACAAACTGAGAGCAAGGAAGCCATGGCATTTGAACTCTAGAGAGAGGTTAATGACCACAAAGTACATGTGAACAAAGCAAATGCAGATGTGAAAGCACTAAAAGTTAACACGTCATAGAAAATGGAGTGGCTGTCGTTCTTATAACTTACAAGTAGCTATGGACTTGGAGCCATCACTTCAGTATCTCTCAGCCTCCATTTCTAATCTAGTCTGGAGAGGAGAGTTGTGGAGACAAGTAAATAAGGTGTATGTGTAAAGCATGGGGTGTGGTATCTATCACATAATAAATAGCCACTAAATGTTAGCTTAAAAAGATCACTTATGGGCTGGGCGCCGGTGGCTCGTGCCTGAAATCTTAGCTACTCGGGTGGCAGAGATCAGGAGGATCGTGGTCTGAAGCCAGCCCAGGCAAATAGTTCACGAGACCCTATCTCCAAAAAACCCATCACAAAAAAGGGCTGGCAGAGTGGCTGAAGGTGAAGGTCCTGAGTTCAAGCCCCAGCGTTGCAAAAAAAACAAATCACTGATGAGTGGCTGGGCATGATAGTATACATCTGTAATCCCATCTATTTGAAAGGCAAAGATTGGGAGGATCATGGTTCAAGGTCAGCCTGAGCAAAAAGGTAGGGAGACCTCATCTCAACAAATAAGCCTATGATTCCAGCTACATGGGAGGCTGTAGGTAGGAGGATCACAGTCTAGACCTGCCTAGGCAAATGTGAAAACTTACCTGGAAATAACTAAAGCAGAAAAGGTCTGTCTAGCAGGGGTGAGGCCCTGAGTTCAAACCCCAGTATTGCAGGGGGATGTGGGGGAGGAATTATTGATTGTGTGTGGTTACCACCACTTGCTACCCTAGGACCTGGGACCTGAGCATCATTTCAGAACAAGGCCAGGTATTTACACTTACCATGCCCTAGTCCCTGAAAAAGGAGACACCTTCCCAGTTCAGCTAGGCATTACAGATTTTAATTCCTTAAATCAAGCAATCTACATGAGTCTTGAAACATAAATTTCATAAACTGAAATCTCAGCAAATAATGACCAGATCCTATGAAACAATACCCAAGAACAGAGCATTCACATTTAAATGACAGGGGGTCCTCCTAGGTGTTTGCTTGTGATGGAGGATAACATGGTTTCTTAAAGCCACTTTGTATAAATTTATTGGAGAGGAAGTCATGTCTCATTTTGTGAAACCTCAAGACCCTTTGGTTGACTTTTCTAGCTTTCACCCTGTCTGCTGCTGTTGGGAAGACTGGACACATCTATTGCACAAATGGTTCTGATATGAAAAATCATTCTTTTGTCATGAAGCTAAACTCAGTGTGCTCTGTCCTCAGAATAATTTAACTGTAATGTTAGACTTTGTGGATCCAAATTGAAATGATTCTATGTGAAGTCCATCTTTGTATCAAAGAGTGATTCTTCTCGAAATTCAAATACTAAGTGTGAATAAATGAGTTGCCACTTGAAAATGAGTTTCCAACTTTAGTCAGAATCATCCTCTATCTTATTATATGTTTCACAGCAAAGCTTTTTTCACCCAACTCTGTGAGTTTTCTTCCTAGAATTTGCCAGGTGCTGAGTCAGAAGTGTTTCCTCTTTTTGGAAAATAACGTGTTTGTCAGTTGTCCTCACACGTGCCTTTGGAGTTGGCTGGTGAGAATGAAATTGCTTAGAGTAGCCAGAGGAGGTGAAGTGGTCCTAATGTCCCCAAAACGTGAACACATGTTTTGTTCTTTTAAAATTATTTTAAAGACCCATTCTTTTTCTGTAGTCCCCTTCACCCCCAGCATTTTTCATCTGTCCATTAAGAACCGCTTCTTTGACCTGACCACCAGCAGAACTAACTGATGATGGTTATGGCTAAATGAATCTCTACTGAAGAAAGTGCGATCTCTTTCAAATTGAGGCTTATTACCTCCCTCTGGAAGAAGTGATGGATTACTTTGGAAACTGCATGTGTTTCGATGTGCTGCTGGCATAGGTCCCCCATGGCCACTTTCTTCAGTAGACTCTTGAGTCCCCTTTTTCATTTGAGAAACTGGAGGACCATTTACTAATAAAGAACATTAAGCTGTCACTTAATTCTTGTACCCACACACAAAATATTTTTGTAGGCTCATTTCTTCAGTACATTATATGAGAGGACTCCAAAGTAATTGCTAACCAGTTGGTAAATAAAAATTATAGTCTGAATTGATCTTGAAAAAGATTTTTTCACAAAGAAAATTACAGAACAAAATCACTTGCATTAGTTTATAGAGCAAGAGGAGGGCTGGGAAATAGGATTTGCTAAACTAGACAGCAGCCACGCTGCTAGTGAAAAACAAGATGAACAGCATGGGTGATGGGAGAGAGGGAAAAGAATCACAGACACTGTGGCCACAAGATGAATTGCAGAAATAATTAGCTGCTAAGAAGACATTATTTCCCAAATATCACCGTATTTCTTTTTAAAATGAGAATTGTAACTTAGAAACAAAGTTGTCTTCTCTTCCCTTGTCCTGCTCCCCACCCCCCACTCATTGTACCTTAGAGATGATAGACTGGTGATTAAATTCACCCACCAGGTCCCAAGGTGGCAGAATATCTAAAACAGATGAATTTCAAGAGGTCCTGCCTTAAGTGACATCACAATGACATCTGTAGCTACTGTAGCTGGGTAGATCTCTGGGTGGGTTCCTCTGGGGGAGGGAGTGCATGATTAAATTTGTATATGGGCATCTTTGTCTGGAAGTGTATCAGGAAAGGAAGAAGGCTGTGTGTGCTGGGCAGCTACGGATTCAGCATGTGCCCCCATTGGTTTATGTATCCTCTTCTCTTCTCCACTCCATCCACCATGATCCCTCCCTCTTACTCAGAATATGATTAGGTCAAGGCAGGAAAGTGATGTGCAATTTCATAGAGCCAGGCTCTATGTTAAGGGTGAAGAAGACTTGTTCTCACCTGAGGAGCCTGCAGCATAGAGGGAAAGACAGATGGGAAAGCAACTAACACAAAAGGATTTCTCAAGACCATGGGCTCTGCACAAGCTCCTGGGGCCCCAAGGAGGGGGTGACTCAATGTCTAGGGTAATGAGGGAAGTTTTTACTAAATTTCATTCTAAGTGAATGAGTGGTAGCTTGACACAAAGAAAGCAAGGAAAGCATTCAAAAAACCAATGGAAATAAAAAAGTTGGGGCAAGATGATCCCAGAAGTCAGGCATTTCTAGACATGAGGATGGAGGCAGAAGGAGGAAGATGGAACGATGGGTCAGGTAAGATGGTGAAGGGAAAATGCTGTGGCTCTCAAATGGGCCTCTCAGAACCCAGTTACCGTCTTAAATATAATTGAAGGCCAAAAGAGTTTTTGTTTATACAGGTTCTATCCACCAACATCTACACATTCAGAAATGCAAACTGAAAACTTTAAGTATTTATTAATTTAAAAAGAACAATAATAAATCCTTCAAAGGTTAACAAAAATCGCATAGTTTTATGTAACTCTTCCAAAACAAAACAAAAACACTTTATGAAGATTGACATTGTTTTACTTTTTAAATCTTTTTAACATCTGTCCTAATAGAAGACAGCTGAATTTTTGTATTCTGCAGTCAATCTTTTGGTTTTTTTTAAATTAGAATATATTAATTGTACAAAAGGGTTTCATTGGATCAATCTATTATAGTATGTTGTTTTGGTTGAAGTATATAAAGAAAATCCTTCTTTACATTCATATGAACTGGAAAAAAAGGAGGAAGGAGTATTTGCATAGCCTTTTTAGATAATTGTGGATATTCTTTTTTGCTACACCAAAACTCAGCAAGTGGTAGATTCTAAAAGGTTATTGTGAAATCTGAAACCATATCAATGCACTGTAGCATTAAACTTCATTGGTCTATTATGAACTTAGAATGGATCTTTTACCCGTGCATGATTTTGTAATCCCATGCATTGATCATTGGAAAATATTTGGTTCACTGAGTTGGACAGATCTTTCAAATGTTGACATATCTGTTTATAGCCAACCAGTCTTCTAGAAAAGCTTTTAAGCACTGGGAAGCTGCCAAGTTCATAGTGGTGGATACATATTTTCCAAAATTCTAATGTTTGCCTGAAAGCTCAAATTCTATGATTGGCAACAAATACTGCCAATTTTCCTTGTAATGATAGGCAGGCTCACTTTGTTCATTTTCAAAAGAAAGTCTGCCAAATACCCAAGTCTGAATAACTGTGGTTTGTCTGGCAATTGTTCTCCCAAGTAAAAATAGTCATCCATGAAAAAGTGGGTAGTTCCACACACAACTCAAACAACTGCCACATTCCTGAGGCAACCATTTTCAGAGTGTGCCGCTGAAATGACTTAGGCATACCTCCCATTCATGACACAGAGCATTTTAAAAGACTGTACTCAAGGGGAGAGATTTAATCAGATTAATTCGTACCGAGTGTGGTGGCAACATGTACTATCCTACCAGTATAGTTTGGTGACCCCCACCATGTTCCATGCTGAGGCTCCAGCTACCCACTGCTTTGTACCATCAATGTAAATGTCAGCATGGTGAGAGAAGGCAAATGATATCAACCCTATAAAGTAGTTTGGACCTAGCAGACCCCTGAATGGGTCTCAGAAACTCCCATGGGTGTAAGAGACACATTTTGAGAACTGAGAATTGGGACCCATCACGGGTCTGGAAGGCGTGCCTCGGGTTAGTCACGCTGTCCTGTGGGCGTTGGATGCTCATAGCACTGTGAACACTGTTCTGTAGTGGTGTGGCACCCATTGCCTCCCAAGAAGATGGAGCATCTGAGCACTGAGACTGACTCACACTCATCTCCTTCTCCCAAGTCCAGACTCACCTGGCTGTCACTTGGCTCTGAGGACCACTCTGGCAGCACTGTGACTTTAGAGTCTCAGGACCTACAGGAGATGTGACTCATGCTCTTGCCTTTGAGCTAAGCCATTTAGAAATATTTAACTCATTCGTGTGTTAAGACACCTTCCAGGGAAATTGCACCTTCCTTCTACCTCCCCACCCCTCCTTTGCGGCCTGTTGCATGACTATCTACTATCACCACCCACAGGTGCTTGGGATACAGACTTGAAATACATGCCTTATGTTTCTTGAGAAAAGAGATTTATGTGAATATAGAATTTGTTTTTACTTGTCCTGTCAAAAGAACTGACTAGTGCAGAACTTTAATTTCATTGGATTTAATCATTGAAATATAATAAAAATTGAATTGACAATGTAGAAATTTCATTTTTTCTTTTCAGAGAGGTTCTGGCTATGTATCCCATTGCTAACCTTGAACTCCTGATCCTTCTGCATCTGCCCCGGGAGTGCTGGAGGCTGTGCCACAAGCATGCACCACCATGCCCAGCTGAAAATTCTTAAAGATGAATTTTTTCATTCTTACTTATTTATATTTGCTGACTTT